ACAAGTGTGCAATGTGCTGTTAAGGTTTAAGGTTAAGATAAGTGTTTCTTTGCCTTAAATTTGCAAATCTCTGTTAATGAACCTCAATTATGGCCTTAACTTGGTTTCCTCTCCATATATACATACCAGAGCTTAAAGAAGGAAACTCTTAGTATCCCAAAATTTAGAATTGGAGCAGTCTTTCATAATTTGGTCCAATTCCCTGATTCATAACAGGAGTATTTAATTGGGTTGAAATGCATCAATTCAAGTAACTTACCAGCATAATTGCAATTTCCAATGAAAATTAGGGTCAAATGTGCTAATGGAAAATATTCTTCCTTTAAAAAAGTTGTTTGTTAAAGTTACTTTGATACTATTAAGTTCTATGCAGTGTTTATTATAAAAGCACTATTTAAGGTATTAATGTCACAGAAAAAAATAAATTAAGAGACTCACCTCCAAAAAAGAACGCTTTTGTCATATCAATATCTTATAGACAACATTTTTTAATCTTAATGGCATAGTAATAATGCTTGTGATTTTCCAGTGTGCTTATATTCAATAAACTTATTTTAAATGTATCTATCTAAAATATTTATAGATGTATTGTTTTAGGGAAATAGATTTTCTCTTAAAATTTTTAGCATTGGGCACATAACAAAGTTGACTTTTTCTAAATCTTGGCTACCCATTAATATCACATGGAAGATTTAAGAAACACACACACACACACATACACACACACACACACACACACACACACACACACACACTAATGTTATGACTTCAGCTTAGGCAAAATAAATGAGTATCTCTGAGGTGAAACACCATGAATGCTATTGTTTTAATGCACCTTCCCCTTCATGCAGGTTAGTTTAATAATTCATAACTTCTTTTCTTTTCTCATTACTGACCTCAAACTGTGATATCTTTCTATATCTGCAAGAATATTTCCATGCACCCCTATGTATTCTTCTCTTAATATTACCTCAAACTCTACCAAAATGAAAAATTTTCTTCATTTGCACTTTTCTAAGTCTTTTAAATTTTCCTCTATTTCTCATGCATTTTGGTGTAAGCTTTCTAACTGTGGTTTCCAATACATTTGTATACACTTTCCTAGAGTATAAAGCATTGAATAGGTCATCAATAACTATCTGCTAAATTGAATTTGTTATTTGCTAATGAATACAGTATGAAATACAATGTAAAAAAAAAACTACTACCTCATTTTTCAAGGCATTATTTTGTGTCTGGTTCATTTAAAATGTTCTACTCATCTCATTCTTTTGTTGAAATTGATTAGGGAATAAGTCCATTTTTTAAATAAACTTTGGATTTCTATGCTTTTTCTTTTGATGGTGAATACCTCTCTTTTATCTTAATTCCTATCTCAAGTTTTGCATTCTCTACAAAACTTTTCCTAATCCCCTTCTGTCTTCCATTCATTTCCACAAGTAATGTCCTTTGTGCTCCAAGAGCTCATTGTATAAATTAGCCACTGTCTTTTTTTTTTTTTTCTTTAAACAGAGAGTATCTACTGCTTGAAGGCAGGGAGTGCAGTCTGCTTATTCATCTTTGTATACTGAAAACCTGGAATCGGATTGCCATTAAAAAAAAAAGCTATTTGATTAAATGAATAAAAGATTCAGTGGCAAACAGCCTATCTATACTGTTGATCTCATTCAGCGTCAAGGCTGATTTAGCAATCTGAACTAACTTCTCCCTCTGCCATGCCTTGGATTAGAAGGTAAGACTGTACTAAATAGGACTTTTAATTTAAGGCAGCCATGCAGGTTTTCTAATCATATTGTCAATTTTCAATTCTTTTATAGATCTTTGTTTCTAGGGAGGAGATGTTTGGGCATGGAATAAAGTATATAGGCCCAAGCAATAATCTTTAGAAACCTGGCCTCATATGGGAAAACAATATGTGAATGGGATAACTTAGTTATTTCAAAGAGTGGCATCTTGACTGTAATTCTTTTTTTGCCTTTATCTGATATTTTCTATATACTAGGTCAAGCCTTAGATTCCATTACTACATTTCCTTTCTCAAAAAACTGTTTCTTAGTGTACCCTTTCCTTTCTGTCTCTGTTTTATGCATGAATGTATGTGCATCATGAGGCATATTTCACTTCAGAAACTTTGCAAAATTTCTTCTACTTATTAATGATAAATACCATCTACTTTTGTTTTAGCAATTTATTTGCATCAAATTAAAACGTAATAATTTTGCTTCCTATGTGTTATTTGAAAAAGAAACTGATTTTTATAGTGAAATCCATCTATAGGATTGCTATTAATACAAACAATTAATATTATCTTAAATATAATTTAAAAAAATTAAGCAATCCTTTTTTTATTGCCACTGATTTTTTTCTTCTTAGTTGTTTATGTTCTTCAAAATCATTATGAAAGGAGTCTTAGAAACAAAACTGTACTGCAAACTGTGTCTTTCAAAGCCTCACAAACTCACCTGTTTATTTTATCTTGTGCTGTTATGTAAAATTCGCTCCAGCATTTTGCTCAGCAAGATGGCAATTATTAACAATATATTTCTCTAAACTGTTGCCACAAAGCTATTATTCACGCAGGGCTACAACCGAGTTAATTTTGGGAAAGAGCTGTTCAAAGAGGCCCAGAGCTGTGGCACTTATGAACACCACCTTTTCTCTTATTTCTAATTAGTGTGAAATGGTTCCAAACAGGAGTCAGCCCTGCAGAAGTGTGTGTAGCACAAAGCCAGGCTTGTTAAGGGACACAGGAAACAGTTTTGTTTTGCTGAATAAACAACTGCGTCATAAAGCCTTTTTTACAAAAGGAATACAATCTGATTTGCCACACTCTGTAAATGTTGAACGTTGTTTATATGCCTCTGAGTCATTTTTATTAAAATTTGAAAGGCCTATGATGATGACTCAATATAGATGATGATACGTTTGAAATGTTTCCCTGCAGTAGGATGGTAGACTTAACTAGTAATACATTTTCTCTTCCCTTTTTATTTTATAAATTAACTTTTATTTGTTGTTTTTTTTGTGTGTGTGTGTTTCTGATGCACAATAATCCTTCTAAATTTCACACTACACCATTTAAACAATTGTGTTATCAATAGTTACACCATTTTAAGAAAATCTCTTAATTACTTTTTCTACGAAATTTAATTTATGTCGTTGTGTTACTGTTTTCTTCCAATATAAACTCCCAACCCATGTTGCTAGCAATTTGTATATGTCAGTACTCAAAATGATGTAAGATATAGTTTATCACTGGAGATCTTCTGATAATTTGCATTAGATGAGTAAATCGAACAATTGTAACTGGTATAGAATATATTTCAGATTTCTCATTTGGTATTCACCATAGATAAATCCAGAGACTTGAGTATTCATTATGAATCAAATCACACAAATCCTGGTCTTGAGTTTACCCAGGATCACTCTTAGGATCTGGGGCAAACTGTTTCTTCTTAGGAAAATCAAATATGTCTTATTTATTTATTTATTTTTTGCATTCTTTGAAAGTGTCCAGTATATTGTAAGTGCACAGAGAGGGTGCTCAATAAATATTATTTGAGTAATATTTCTCTTCTCATGCAAAGTAATATAAAAAGCTAAATTTCCTTTAAATGAACATCTTTTAAATATGCCTACACACAGTGATAATTATTAAATTGTATTATGTTTAATATCTAGTCATGGAATATCATACACTATTTTACTGCCAGATGCTGAGGTCAGAGAATATTTGAGAGATTATAAAATCATAATCCCTATTGCCTTGATATTGAAAATGCACATTTATATTTAGGCAGAAATCAGAAAATTTGATTCTAAATGCATTTTTCATTCTGAAATCAATGAAAGAAACGAATTTAACCCATGAAATATTAACTGCTATGGAAAGCAGGACTCACTAAAGTGGTGTAGATAAAGAAAAAAAGTACACAAGAGAATGTTATTTAATATGGCCGTATGAAAATGAACATTTAGAAGCCAATGAGCAGGTTTGATACTTCTTGCCTTCCTCTGCTTTAACTTACATGACCCCTTATTCTAAGATATGTTCTTCTGTCTTTGCTGGCATTACCGTAATCTTTTCCTCAGCTTCATAGTCACAAAAAGCTTCATAGTTAACTTCATACTTAAAGAGATGTTTAAGGAGATAGGTTGGTGGGTTACTATAAAGAATTAATTATACATACATTTTAAGAAGATGATTTGGGATATTGTTTAACATTAATTTGCAATAATTGTTTCTCCTAATAGTGTTGATACATAGTTGATTATTCCTGTTTTTCAGCTGTATACACTGAAGAAAAAGACCAAATACTGCTTAAAGAGCAAGGCGTCAGCAAGAACATGACCTAAGAGTTTTGCACATTTCACATTGGTTTTGCAGTTATTTCCCTCAGTAAAAATCTCTTTGGTTCCTACAGTGTCTTGCGTTTCTGCCCCTGGATTCTCAGTAACTTCAACACTTTACCCAGGATCTATAAAAGCATTTCCTCTTATTAAAATGTGTCACAACAAAGATGGACAAATCAATTCTTAAAAAATAAAATAGAAAAACAATATATGAATTAAGAACTTTACTATAAATTGAAACTACTAAATAGTACAGTCTTCCCAAATATTAAGTTTTCATGCATTTGCTTGACACTAGCATCTCTACTTATTTCAGGTAAAATAACCAATCTAACTAGCCTAACCAAATGTTCATTTAAATGAATTGAGTTGAATTTGCAGAGTTAGTTCTTTTATATTTTGCATTCATGAACATATATATGTTTTTATTAGTCTAGAGTATTTTCTTTTATATTTTAGTTTCCTGCTCCCTTTTGGATTTTTATTATTGCTTAATTAATTATACTAAAATCAGTATGTGAGGAGGGGAAGAAAAAAAGGTTTTTATCAGGGGCATCTTTTCGAGACCATGAAAATTGAGCAAATTAATGTCAAAGTTGCAAGCTACACAACCACAAAGAAAAGAAAAATAAAGTTATTCTTTCCACCTTCTGATTTCATCTTCAGCAGTATTTTAACGCTTAGTTCTTGACACTGCCTGATTAATGTGTAGAATATCCTTTTTTCATGAACACAGCATAGAGATTTTTGCTAGATGCCAATGTAATAAAGCTGAAATTAGATGTCGATGTGCTGTAATCCAGTGGTAATCTGGAAAAATAATTAGAAGAGCAAGTAATTTGTTATTTCCTTTACAGCATTGGGGTATTCCTGGAGCTCACTTTCTAGTAATGTGAACATGTTAATTCATTTAAATTTTCACATTAAAAGGGCAATCCTAGGTGAAAGTCAAGCACTACATATCTTTAACATTGTCACAGTGGAGGGGTCATAGATGAAAGAGATACAGTGAGAATTCACCACCTAATGCTCCTCCCTGTACCATAGGATTCCCTTACCTGTAGTTAGCCTAATTAAACCGGATAGGGGACTGTTCTTAATTGGTTCCCTGCTCTATTAAGTAATGCAGATTTTTTTTTTCTTGTTGTATAAGGTATCTTCTCTCTTTGGTCATACTCTGTATACCTGGAAATTATGCATTTCTACAGTTCCATGCCTTTTTTTCTTCACTTTCTTTGAAAGTAATGAATATTTTCATTAGTTATATTCACATTAAATAATGCTCCAGAACCACATAACATAGATGAAATTTAAGTTAATGAATTTCATATAATTTATCTAGGCGAAAAACATTTTGTAGATGATTAAATTTCCAGATTGTTTTATTTTCAGCTTTTAGAAATGGTAGTGGGGCTAATGGAGTGTTAATATTTATTAAGAGCCTTCTTTGAGCCAAGCTCAGTATTGTGCTAAGCTTTCTCTCATGTATTTTCTCAATAGGTTAACCCACTGTTTCTGAGGGTGGACAGTAAGATCCCGATTCCATCCACAAGACATCTAAGATCCACTGAAATTAGATATACAGTGTTTTAACCTGGGACTATAAAATTCCATGAAATCTCTTTAACATCATGTTCCTTAAATAGAACATGTTATTAAAATGTATGTCTTACAATAATCAAGCCAAAGATCCACCAGGAACCGTATATAACTTTCTATCAGTTTCTAATGAAAACAACAAAAATTTCAAACGAGTAATTTATCAGTATTTATCAACTTTTAGAAAATCATGCACTTTAACTCTTTTCTCCCACATTTGTCATTGTTTGGGAGCAGGGTGGGGGTTGTTCTTGTGGCTTTTATTAGAAACTGGTTTTTGTTGTGTTGTTTGACTCTTTTGTATGTTTTTATTTTGCTTTTGTTTGCTTTTGGTAGCCCAAAGACTCTCAATGCTCTGGCCTATAACCAAATATTCTGGTATTTTGACCTTCAATATTTTTTTTTCTGTCTCACATTCTCTCTCTCTCGCTGCCTCCTCCATTCTCTCCTTTCTTCAATAAAATCAAAGACAAGTATTACTGGAAAACCTATAGTGATGATCTAATCCAATTCCACACATCAAGTGGTGAGCTGGTGTTTATAGGAACTGAAACCAAAATCTGAATCTTCTAATTCTGGAGCAAATGCTCAATTGACCTAACCTGTTTTGTTTTATATTATTATTATTATTTTGCTTTACCTTGCATGGTTATTGCCATTGTTTGAATGTTATGTTTTATTTATTTTTCATAGCACAGAAATTAACTTTAAAAAAATCAATCTATGTAATGCTGACAGTTCTTGTAGATGATAAACTGTCTTTCCATGTAAATCCAAGTTTTCTAGTCCTTCAGACATTAAAAAGATTACTGCATTGTACTATCATTATGTGGCTTGAGGAAATTTTGAGTTCTATGTATTACAGGACTCAAAGTTAAGCAAGTAATATTTATGAACACTATCTCTCTTACTTTTACAGAATAGTGGAGATTTGTCCTCAATGGTGGACTCTATTTGTTCTCAAATGTTCTGACATTTTGTCATTATGAAACATTTTCATTTTGGCCAAAAAACAACTGGAAGTTTTAGTTTTCAGCAATAAGTTACCATTATTTAAAGGATCAGTATCATATTTGCATGGATCTTTGTTCTTTTTGATAACTATACTATAGGATAGAAATTTGTAAATGGTGTGACACTTAGTACTGTTGTGCAGCTTAGGTGGCTCTGATACTGATGAGATAATGTTGCAGAAAAAACGCAAATTCAGGATTCTGGTCATTTTCCATATTCACGAACATAAAAAAATTAGAAAAGATGACTTTAGAGGAATTTTCCAAACTATTGATAGTGTGACCATGTTGCATATCATTAAAAGTGGATACCACTACAAATAGAAAAGCAATACCTTGTTTGTTATTCAAGCAAAAGAAGAGTATCAAATCCTATCTTATTGTAATACTAATAAAAAATTTTTGGAAAGGCCAGTGAGCATAATACATTTACCTATGTTGTATTTTATTAAAAAACACATTTTTATAAGTCTATTTTATATTTTCAAATGCGAAGTCATCAGTTAAATATGCTATCATTTAAAAAATATTTGTAAAACATCTTTGACAATTGAAAGGCTTAATATAGTTGTTGCTTGTAAGGTCTATTGGTTTCAACATCTAATATTCCAGTAAGTTGAATATTTATTATATAAAAGCTCTTTTTCAATGAGTTCTTTGAATTTCTAAAGCAGATCATCATGACATATATGACAGGTTTTTTTTTAACTGTTTATAATTAGAAAACAAAACCTTATTAACCTAATTACTCTGGTTTCCAAAGTAGTATTTTTTAAAGTATAGAACCGCACTTCCCTTAAAATGGTAACACAAGTAGTTAGAATGAAGATGTGAATTTATCCCTGCAGTCAGTTGACCCCTTAACCACTACACATGCTGCCTCATGCCTCATGCCTCATGCAAGTGGATTTCTTGGTAAACCCACTACGTGGTATGCCCACTTGCTGTCTCTTTAGGCTCACTATGGAGCAACAAAGATATTTTGGATATGAGTTTTCATCACAAACAAGAAACTGATTATCTCGAAAGTACCATTCTCTCCCAAAATTTAGATGTCAAGACAAAACACAGATGAATTGTTTTAGGTCATTGGCTGAATAATGGGGAGAAAATTACTTCCACCTGTCTCTGAGGTCAGATTGACAAATAACATTTCCCTTTCAATTGGCTAAAGACAGAAATAAGACAAAGCTTTCAAAAATCAAATAGTGAGATATTAAGAATGACTGAAGCATTACTTAGCAATATGATGTAAAAAAGACTGTGATGATTGTAATCAATATCTGAGTACCTACATGTATCAAGCACTGAGTTAACAGCTTTATTTGATTTTGCATATTGACTTCTTACAACACTATGAGGTCAGTATTTTATTATATAGTTTCCACATGAAGAAATTGGAGTTTGAAATATAGGTAGCTCTTCCAATATCCATTATGGATATTGGGGAACCTTTCTTTCTTCCTTTTAAAGGATGACTTTAAAATTATGCTCCCTATCAATCCATAGGCCACAGCAATTAAAATCTGCTAATTATTATAATCATTAAGTTAGTACTTATGTGCCAAGAACTGCGTTGAATCAATCCTTTAAAATCTTTTAATCAGGGAGTTTTTGTCATTATTAGATGAAGCAGACACAATCATTACCTGTTTGGAGCCTTGGTTTTTACAGAGAGTTGCCAAATTCTCAGAAAGTGCTACAAATTATATTAACTTTAATGGCCAGAACAGGAGTGTTTGTTTGATCAAGTATTTTGAAAATAAAATATGGGTATGAATAAAAGTTTTCAGTTTTTAGTAAAATAGAATGCATAATTTGTTTAAAAATAAATAATTCAAAAAATCACTACAAGTAAATCGCAAATTTAGACCAAACAATGCATGTGCTTTGTTATCAGAAAATCATGTGACCTGTTCTTCTAATAAAGATAACACAAGGAATGTGTGGAAAAATAGAATATATAATTTAAAACAAAAACCCAACTAATGAAAAAACTCTGCTTTATTAAGACAACTTACTTCTGATAAAATTTAAGCATACAATTCAATGACATTAAAAAAATTCTAGTTAAGTGTAAAGTGTAAACACAAATCTGATCCTGGATAAACATGATGTCAAGTCAACTCAACACTAGGAAGTAAGTAAAGGAAACATTAATATCATTTTAAGTGGTCATCTAAATGATTAATTGCCAATTATATTTTATTCAATCCTAAATGCCTTAATGCCATATGTGAACACGGAAAAACTTTTTGGTATGATGTTATTTGCTTGATTATTTATGACCTGTGCAAGACTCTCAGGCTTCCAAATAAAATGTTAATTAAAGCTCATTTTCCATTGTGCTCCTGAGGAAAAAATAGAAAGTGGAGAAATGCAACTTTTGAGTAATAAATTATTAGACTATGAAATGTGGCTTCAGAGAAATAAAAATTTTAAGGAATTCCAGGACAGTCAGCCTGGTCAGAATTTCTAGATCTGTATTTTCCACCTATATCCTAATTAGGCTCTGGTTGACTAATAATCTGATTTCACTTTTCTGTTGTCTAGATTTCTTGAGTTGCAATTCTTCAAGGTCAACAGGAAGTACACTGTTTATGCCAAATTTGTTCTGCACAAAACAGGTCAAGATAACTTCCCTCCTAAGTCTGTGTGTTGATTTCACAGGGGTTAAAAATTAACCAGTGGCATACCATAAGCTAACTTTACAATGCAAATGTCATGTGTTAGAGTGCAATGAATTGCTCATGGTATAGGGAAAGTTATTGCAAGAGATTTGGAGGACAGTGAAATACATTAACATTGTACATCTACCTCAAAAATAAGCACGTTAAACTCTATATTAAAAAAATAAAATAAAATACTATGGCAAAGTAAAATTTGCCAGAATCTATTTTAAAAAATAGCATATTTTCTGAAAAGATTGTCTTTTTTGGTAGTGTAAAGTAAAAATTGCTTTATGTGTTTGATCTCTAGTGTCCCTTTCACCTTTTCCTCTCTTGAGACTCCTCCTTCCCCCTTCTCCCCTGCACTTGTTTAATTTACAATATCGCTGTGTGTGCAGTTCTCAAGATATGAAACAAGAGGCTGTAACAGGGGAAGAAAGAAATTTAACAGCTAAACAGGTGCACATGGAAAATAAATAAAAAATTGAAAAATCAGGCCCCATGGGTGCCATAAAAGGAGCATTTGCTGAATAACTAATTTGGTAGCCCTTGTGCCCTATGAATTATTGTTCTGATTTACCCACTCACACTGTCTAACCAACTCAAATTGCCTAACACTCTAATTATTCTGTATGCAACCTGAGAAGAGAGCAATTTCTAACTGGCCAATTTAAAAGGAAAGAAGTGATTCTATTTTTCTTTGTTTTTGTTAATTTTGTTTTAGTTTCTCACTGTAATAAAGGACATATTTGGGATTAAAGGATACCTGAATCATGTTGTATTTTTTAATGGTGCCAAATAGTTAAATGGAATACAGAAATTGCTTAAAAGTTAACTAGTTATTATTTATATAATAATAATTGGCAGAGTATTGTCTTTGCTCATTAACTAAGGATTTATTGAATACCTACTATGTGTGTCCTTACCCACTATGCACGTGCCAATTGGGAATTTTAGCCATTTGGATATTTTTACATTACTTTAAGCCAGTCGTTCTATATAATATAGTCACCATGTAATATACTATCTTTTGTACTAGCATCCCATAATGTCATTTTACTATTTGCTTTCTAAACACATGAAGCTTATATAGTTAAAGTGAAATAAAATTTAACAATGTGTAGTTTTGATTCAGAATTACATTCAAATTTTATGCTAAGTGCATTATCATCCCTACTTTAGAAGTGATGAAGTTAAATTCAGCTGGTCACACCACTAGTATATATATTCAAACTCAGATAGCCATACTTCAAAGAATAATCTGTTAATCATGATTTTATGTGCTATCTGGATGTCAAGTTCACTGAAGTCCTACCTCAGCCTCTGAAAGTGCTGAGGTTACAGGCGTGAGCCACTGGGCTTGGCCAAAAAGGCCTTTTAATTTGCCATTTTAGCCTAATATCTGGCTGGCTTTTTTTCCTCTTCTTAATTTTCACGAGGAAAGGGATAGAATAAAATAATTTTGCAATTTTGTCCTTTAAATATGGCTTCGCCACTTTTCCATGATGGATTTCCTAAGAAAATGATTGCTATGAATAGCATAACTCAAAACCAAATGAACCATGCATTAAATCTACTTGAGGGTATTTATTGTATTTATCTATTTAATTATGTTGACATATTTATTTTTTTTCCTTTAAATAACTTAAACTCACCTCTCCAACAGATTATTTTGTTCTGGTTTCTTAACTTTTTCTCTATATTCATAAAAATCTATAGCTAATAGGGTCATTACAGTGACCCCAATGCCCTCAGCACCTATCCTCTGTTGTCCTTTTATCTGATCTGGCACAACTTCCCTGGAGAATGAGCCCTGTTGTCCACTTTCCCAGAAGTTGCACAAAACAGCTACAAGTTGCCAGTCTCCAAACAGACTTACTAGTTCAAACATAAATTTTGAATCACTAATCTCGAATATATTTAAATTACTATCAATTCTACCACCTTTCTTCAGTCAATTCAAATTCCTCAACAATTTCAAATTCTTGGTTTTCTTAAATCATCTGCTTTTTCTTTTTTTTTTTTAACCTTACTCATACTTACCTTTGGGCCAAACATTTAATTCTAATATCCATTTTGAAACATTTATTCTGGAACATTTCAAAGCCACCTAACCCTTAAAATGCTGCTGAAATCCAAACCTGTCATCAGCCACTGAACCACTGGTCCTCTTTTGGTGGTCCTTATCTCAGCCACTGGTAGGTCATGGATCTAGGTGACCACACCATTAATAGAGAGTTGGGAGGAAATCTTACCACCCCTCCCTGTCCTTCATCCTTGTATCCAATATACTGCCAAGTGCTAATGATTCTACTTCCTGATCTCTCCCAAACATGTCTAATTCTCTCCAACCCTGCCACCATCATCTTAGGCCATGCTACCACCATTGTTCACTTGTTTTTTTGTAAGAATTGCTGTACTTGTTTTCTATGCTGTGTAACATATTACCACAGAACTAGAGGCTTAAACAATAGGTATTTCTTACCTTACAGTTTCTGTAGATCAGAAGTTCAAACAGGGTCCTCTGCCTGCTGTCTCACAAAGTTCAGATCAGAGTGTTGGTCAGGCTGCTTTCTTGTCTGGAGCTCAGGGTCTTCTTCCAAGTTTATTCAGATTGTTGGCAGAATTCAGTTCCTTGCAGCTATGAAAATGAGGACTCTGTTCTCTTCATTGCTATTTGTCAGGGAGTGCTCTCAGTCCCCAGAGCCTGCCCTCAAGTCCTTTTATGTGGCTGTCTTCATAGGCAGTTCATAATATGGATGTTTGTTTCCTCAACGCTGGCAGGACAATCTCTCCTGTTTTGAATATCTTTTTTTAGAAAAAGACTGAGCTCTTTTTAAAGGACTCACTCGATTACTTCAGGCCCAGAATAATCACTCTTTTGTTGGTCTCAAAGTACTTAATTACATCTTCTAAATTCCTTCACCTTTGCCATATAACACAGCCCAAGGATGGAAGTGAAATCCCGTCATATTCATGAATCTTATTCCTATTCAAAGAGGGCAGGGCAGAGGGTTATCTAGAGTCTATACATAGGGAATGGAATGGGGGCCTTGGGGACCATCTTAGAATTGTGCATATCCCAATTGCCAGGCAGCACCTAAATGAATTCTGACCCATCTCCATTCCATTCTCTAATGCCAGAGGGATCTTCTCAAACAGAATTTTGATCATTTTGTTCTCTATATTAAACTCTATTTTTGTTTCCCATTGCTTTTGATATGAAAAAAGTAAATATGTTTTTGCAGAGACTACAGTAACTAGCATGGTCTGTCTCTGTCTACCTCTCTGGCTATATCTTCTACCAGATTTTCTTCACTCCCTACATTTCAGTTAAAATCATTTTCTTTTGATCTCTTTGATTTAGCATGCTCCTTGCCACAAGGACTTTGTATACCTGATATCTACTCCTGAACCTTTCTTTCCTCTCTTCTAGTAATTCTAACTCATTCTTCGGATCTTAGATTAAGTATCACTTCCACAGACTAACTTTTGTTTTAGGTGTACTCCTTCCACCACTCTATAAGTTTTTCATAGCATCTTCAAACCTGAAATTTTTCTGTGTAATGAAGGACATATTTCTATTTCTTCTACTAAGTAGCTTAGGGCAGAGATAAGTTTGAGATTTCATACCCTTGGGTATTCCCAGTGTTGAGAACATTAGCTAGAACAAACTCAATCGGCATATGTTTAATGACTAAATGAGTTTAAATGTCTCGCATGATATCCTTTACATTTGGTTTTGAAAAGAAATGTAATCTTCTTTCTAAAATTATTAATTATATCTATGCATGTTTATTTATAATTTATCTTTTGAAGCAGTGATTACCCTTTAATAAAGTATATATGGGACATATTGTGAAAATTATGGTATTTTGAAATTGTCTTTCCATGAAAATTAAGGTTCAGATGTTGATGAATTTAAAACAAATTGCTTAATCTTTTACAGTTATAAGGAGCACAATTTAAAGGCACATGAAAATATTTGCAAAAGTGATGTTTTAATTATGGGATTTTTAAGAAGAAGAACTATATTCTGATGTGTGAACATTTGAAAGGCATTTAGTATTAAAATTTGGATCTGTAACAAAACATAAATTGAACATATAATAGCAAAAAATAAAATTGCAGAAATTAACTTAGACCAGTAGAAATGTGTTTTAGTAATAAAACACGAACATCATTATTCCACATTTATTTTTACTTTTAATCTGATTAACTCTGTTTTATGAAACTGCATGAGCAGTCTTTCAAGCTAAAATTAAAATACTAATTTGAGTAAGAGAAAGAATGTGTAAGATAAAGAAATCCTGCCAAACCTAATGCCTACCAAACAGAGATCTGTATTGTTGAATAAGATTGACCCACTAAATTGCCATATTTTGCAGAGTGAATTTTCTTCTGTCTATCTAGGTTTTCAGATTCAATATTCTAAGAAGAAAATTCAAGACTTACCTGTGCACTCAAATATTCAGAAAGATATGACCCTGAACACTTTCTGTTCTCAAAGTTGTCAAACTGCCAAAGAACTAGAGGAAAAAAAACTCTCAATGGCTATTCATATTATTTCTTATCTTAGAGATATATTTCACCAGTCATAAACTAAGAAAGTTACCTATGTTACTCGATGTATAAAATGATATGAATATTTCTTAAAGAATGAATAATATTTTTGAAACAAGTACGTATAGAACTATCTCCCAAACAAGATTGTTCTTAGTACATATCAAGTTCAAAGTCAGAAACCTATTGTTAGGTAAATACACCTTTGGAATTGCTATTTTAAATGAATGTATCCTTCATCATTATGTCATGTTTCTCTTTATATCTGCTAATATTACTTTTTTAATGTCTACTTTGTCTAATATTAATACAGCTACTGTAATTTTCTTTTGATTAGAATTTGCATGATATATCTTATTTCTGTCCTTTTATTTTTAACTTATCCATGTCTTTAGATTTAAAGTAGATTTATTATAGACAATACATAGGTGGGTCTTGCTATTCTATCAAATATATTAATCTTTGCCTTTCAATTAGAGTGTTTACACCATGTATATTTAATGCAATTGTTGGATTTTGATCTACCATATTGCAAGTTGTTCCCTACTTGTCTGAATTTTTTGTTCCTCCTTTCTTCTTTTTCTTCTTCATTTGTGTCACTTAATCATTTTTAAGTGATTTAATTTTATTTACATAATCAGCTTATTAGTTACACTTCTTTTAATTTTTTAGTGGTCACTCAAAGGTTTGTAATATAAACCTTTACCTTATCAAAGCCTATCTTCAAATAATAGTATTCCACTTCACATGTAGAACCTTACAACAGTATCCTTTAATTTTTTTCCCTCCCATCCTTTAATATTATTGTCATAGATCTTATTTCTACATATATTATAAAGCAAACAATATATTCTTACTATTTTACTTTAGAAAGACTTAATTATCTTTTACAGAAATAAAAAAAATAATCATCTATTTACTCTTATTTTACTAATGTCAAATTTTCATTTCTTGTATAGATCTAAATTTCCAGCTGGTATCATATTCCTGCCTGCAGCACTTTCTCTGATACTTTTTGTGATGTAGGTCTACTGTTAATGAATTTTCTCAACTTTTGTTTGTCTATAAAAGTCTTTATGTCACCTTCATTTTAATTTTACATAAAAAGAAGTTCAGAAGCAGCATGGTTCCAGGAATGGTTTAACCAGTGATTCAACAGCATCATTCAGCATCCAGTTTCTTTTAATCTTTTTTTCTTTGCCACCCTAGGAATGTTGGCTCTTGTCTTGACCCCTAATAATCATAGTATGACTGGATCAGCCCCCAAAAATCTCATATTTATCCGTTTGAACACCTGAAAAGAGAATGTCTTTTTGTTCCTTTCCCAGAACACCAAAAGCAGATTTTTCCAATTGTCCATTGCCTTAAATTACATTACATATCTACTTTTAAAGTATTCTTTAACAAGGGGATTGCTACTAACTTTCCCCCCTAAGGTTGTGTGGAAGCCCAGATCCTTCCAACATATAAGACTACTTCAATAAAACTACAGTTCTGAGAGTGTAGGAATTGGCTGGTGGGTAGACAACCACCAGTATTAGCCTAGACTTGCCCTCACTTTTAATATTTCAACTTGGTAAGAAATAGATTTTTTGAAGATTTGTTGGTTTGTTTTTCATCACATAAAATATGGTTTGTGATAGGAAATTGATCTTAAGACATTTTTCTTCAGCCACTTAAAAAATTAATTCTTCTATATACCAATGATGTGTTTAGGCATTCTCATATCATGCTTACAGATGTCTCAGGAGTTTCCTGAGATATTTTCCCCTAGGAAGCTATAGATAAACAAGGATTAATTGTCACCTCCAGTTATCTACCTTGTTTTTATAAAGAATACCTTCCTTATCAAAAAAAATGCTTGCAACAAAAGGAAATAAATACAATTTTAATACCTTGAAGGGGAGTCAACTTGAGATAAAATAGGAAGTTAATAGAAAGATATATGTAAAACTCATGGGGTTTTTTTGGCAAGTTTGCATATACCTATGCTTAGAAAGCCTATTATCAAATTAATATTGTACAGACATTTCTTGAAACATATATGCCTTCTCTCCATGAGTATAATATCTGAAACATATGTTAGAAAGAAAATGGCAGAAATACTTAAAAATACACTTAACTCATCTTCAAACATCATAAAATTAGAAACCATTGTATAGGATTTTTAAAAATTCTCCTTATATGTTTTTAGTTACTTAGTGAACTCATCAAGTACATATGGAGTCTCTGTTAAACACTTTCTCAGAAAAGGAACTTATGATCATTTGAGGAAATCCAGTTCCAATCATATTTTCTCTGCATAGAAAAGTTTCAAGCCATATGTCCTACTCTGCCGTGTTGTGGCAGTGGTGAGCTGGAGCTGGCCTTGATGTGCCTGGAGGAGCCAATTGTGTGCACCTCTTCTCGGCTCTCCATGCAATAACTTCATATTGGTAGCCTGAAATCAGCCTTGGAAACATTTGTACCGCAAAAATCAACAAATATTATAAATCAGGACTGTTTGTCCATCAAACAGTTTACCTGCACACCACCTGCTTTTGGGGCAACATGAATTAAACTCTAACTTTCTCAAAAATCACTCTAATATTTGAGAACAGCTATTATCTTCCTCTACCCACTTCCGCTACCCTCCCATCTCTTCTTTTCCAAGCTAACCATCCTTGTTCAACTGCTTCTTCTAAATTTATTGCTTTGTATATTCTCATCATCTTGTTCTCACTCCCAGGGAAACAAAACAAAATACTACACTAATATGTTAATAATGCTATTAAAATGTAATAGTCAAAACTATTGTATGAGGTTCTCTAGATACCCCCCATAGACTAGTACCTTTATACTATTATCATTGTTTTCTTACTTTTATAAAATAAAAATCACTCAAGTTTTGTAGATACCTGGCTGTCATTAATTCCTGTAATCTCAGAGTTTCAGCTTCTTGAAGAAAGTGAAAAATTCACCATATTTACACCACATATTTAGTCCAGTGTTTGGAAATCTATATTCTAAAAAGGACCACATTATATTTATTGTAGGCTTTAGCCATATGGTCTTTTTTTGCAACTGCTCAACAATGCAGTTGTAGCACAAAAACAGCTAGAGATAATATATAAATGAATGGGTAA